AACCTTCCTGCTTACCCCTCAAGGAGCCATTCATCCAGTTACTACCTCTATAGGTTTACCTATCCTGCATTTCTTATACAGAAAACATAAAAAACAAGAACCAAACTAACAACCGTAGCAAAGTAGAACAGATGGTAGTACATCCTAGCTGCTGCTTCTGAGATGGCTCCTTTTATACCCCGTGAGTCAGAGTTCCATCTGCCTATGTTTCCATCCAATCCTTTGGTAGGAGATGCAGACTATTGCTAGAAGACCCGTAGCAGATAGCTTGCAACCCCACAGAGGACAACATTCTAGTGTGTAATATTTCTGTTTCAGAGTTCGCTCAGCAGCTGGTATTGTGAAGGGTGGGGTGTGGAGTCATCCAAAGAGAAAATATGCAAACACGAGGACAAGGGATTCTGATTCTTGGCAACAGCCCTTTCTGTCTGAATAGGACTGTGCGTCAGAGGATTTCCCGTGGCTGATGTTTTAGAAGTAGCTCACCAAACCCTTCTCCCGCGGGCCCTCGGGTGGATTCCAACCACCAGCCTTTGGTCAGCAGCTGAGTGTGTTCGCCCTGCGCCACTCCCCGGGGATTCCCAGATGAGGTGACGCCAAAGCTTAAACAGCAGCAAAGCACAAAGTAGCTTCCTCCTTTGGGCTGGTGAGCTCTACCGCCCTGAGATATGAAGGAATTTCCTCGATAGTAATAAATCCCTCAAATGGAAAAAGGCTCTGCAGCCACGCACATGTAATGACACTTGGAGACAGCAATGGATCTTCTTCATGCTTCATGTTGACTTTTACGGAGCGCAGGAGGCATGCGGGTCAGTGGTAGCCGGATGGATGGATGTCAGAGGCATGTTTTGTCGGGGGGATCGTGGTACCTCTGCATCATGGTGTGAAAAGGAAAACTAGTTTGAAGACCATGGCAATTATTTTTCTCTCCTGAAAACTGCCCCCTGCATTTTATGTGCAAGAACGTCAAGGAATCCAAAGAAATCGGCATCACAACCCTGCTTTCTAGGTACGGAGAGGCTTTTCAGAAATCGTCAAGGGCGATGGAGCCCTTTGAGTGAGTCATGCGCATGTGCAACAAAGTCCTGGTACTCCAGCTTCCGGAAAAAGGAAACTCCAGCTCACTGCCGTCTAGTCTCGGCCTACTCATAGTGAGCCCGTAGGACGGAGTGGACGTGCGCCCGTGGGCTTCTGAGACGGTGACACCCTGTTCTTGTTGTGGGGTACCACGGAGTCAGTTCCGACTCGAACCCCACGTGCAGCCGTGTAAGGAAGCTCCCAGTCCCATGTCATCCTCGCGGTCCTTGTGGCCGAGCCCATTGTTTGAGCTCCGCCATCTTCTGTTGGAGTCCCCGCATCAAGCCATCTGCCCGAGGGCCTTCCTCTTTGTTGCTGCCCCTCCGCTGTACCAAGCATGAGGTCCTTCTCCAGGGACTGGTCTCTCCTGACACCATGTCCAAGGGATGCGAGGTACAGTCATAACACCCTTGCCTCTAAAGAGCATTCTGGCTGGACTTCCTTCAAGACTTCCTGGGACCAAGTGAATTGCAAAGGGAAGTTTGTTCTGAGTCAGTCCTCGGAGTGGGGACTTGCCTTACATGCAGATGTCTCTTCATTCTTAAACCAGATGTCAGGGGGACTCGCTCCATTTGGTTCAAAGCGGATATTACTGTGTCTGATAGGACTGCGCTTCTTGTAAGAATGGAGAAGTTAAAAAACTTGCTGTGTTCTCTTTCCTCAAATCGTCGTTTGACCAATTCTGATATCCATACCCCAGAAGATGTACAACAAAGAACATGTTGGGGTCTTCAGACTGTTGTTTCCACAGTCATTCCTGCCCCTCTGCGACAGTCACTTCCCAAAGCACCGATGGAGGTTACTTGGGATTCTTCCAAGTTCACCTCAGCTGCTGCCCACAAAGCCTAGGGGCAGGCAGTCTTGTTCATTTGAGTCCCTATGGCCTCCTGCCTTGTTAATTGTTCTTTATGGTCTTTTGTAATGCTTGGAAAAACCCTTTTGGTCAGGCAGTGCTGATGGAGAAAAACATGTCCCATACATCGTAATACATTCTTTTCCCTCCTTCTTTCACCGTTGACTCAAGGGATAGCCAAGATGTGGAAGAAAAAGATTTCCCCCTCACTGTTATTATGTTCTTGAGGTTAGAAGCTGTGACCTGTCGTGTATGCCCCCCTCGTTTTTCGGGCCTTTTAAAAAACTTTGTGTTTTAAATTAGGTGCAAGTTTGCAGAGCAGAGGACTGT